TTACTCCGTATTATTTATTCATGGATATGTTATATTGTTTAGTGTCTCATTGTCTAATAATCACACTTGTCAGCCAAGGGTTGAAGCTGCCATGGTAAATGCAAGAATCCATAAGACAGTTCGCACAACCAATGCAAAGGTTGGTTACATTGGCCCTCCCACCGATTTTAACTATGCCTGTGAGCATCTTGGTGTTGGCCCTCAAACTCTTCTTGAAATTGCCGAGGATCGTCATCCTTTTTCCTCGACAATCTCTAATGCTAAAAACCCGTCAATCATTGTTGGTGCTGGAATCTTTGAGAGAAGCGACAAGGATGCTATTTTCTCTGCTTTGGAGGCCATAGCAAGAAAGGGGAATGTTATTCAACCTGATTGGAATGGGTTTAATGTATTGCTTGTCAATGCTGCCCAAGCTGCAGCCCTTGACCTTGGACTTGTACCACAATGTAGCACGAGTGTAGGGTCTGCCAAGTTTGTGTATCTGATGGGTGCTGATGATGTGAACTTGGATGAGTTACCGAATGATGCCTTTGTGGTTTACCAGGGGCACCATGGCGACCGTGGTGTGTATCGTGCCAATGTCATTTTACCAGCAGCAGCTTTCAGTGAGAAGGAAGGGACTTATGCTAATACTGAGGGGTGTGCACAACAGACTTTGCCTGCGGTTCCAACAGTTGGTGATGCCAGGGATGATTGGAAGATCATTCGAGCTCTCTCTGAGGTATCAGGGGCATGTCTACCCTATGATTCTCTTGGGGCCATCAGATCCCGCATTGGTACTGTGGCACCAAATCTGTTGAGCTTAGATGAGAGACAGCCTGCTACATTTTGGCCATCTCTGAAATCTGAGTTTACAAAGGAAATGGATACAACAACTCCATTCAGGCCTGCGATCGACAACTTTTACATGACTGATTCTATTACCAGGGCTTCAAAGATAATGGCACAATGCAGCGCACTATTATTGGAGAAGTGAGTACTGGACCATTTTGCAACTTTTTTTATTCCATATGACTGTAGTATATTTGCATGTCTGAGTTTTCTGTTAAACTTTATCAAGCTATGTGTCGCCCGCCCTTCTTGGCCTTGGGTGAATGTAGGTGGTGGAAAATAAACAATTGGGTTTCATGTAAACCTCAGCACAAATGTAAAACTCATTTTCCCTCTTAACCTTTTTTTTTAATAATTTGAACTCGATTTGTATTGATATATTTTGTTCTTCAACTTTAAGGGAATTCTGCCGTAGTCAATGGTAAACCTCGTGAATGTGAGATTTTGTATACGCAGTCGTAGATTGTAGCGAGTACAGATGCATTTGCATTTTGCAGAACTTGATCATGTGATGGATTAGAACCTCTTTTCTTTAGCGGAATCACGATTTCTTGAAATTAGAAGTTGGATTGGTTGGAAAAACATAGAAACTCTAGGAGTATTACAAAGTGAAATTTGCACTAATGTAGTACATAAATATTTTCATTCCCTAAATAGTACTTGAATAATGTTTAGTAATGAAAACAATTCCTGTAAAGTTGGACATTTAGTTTGAACAATTTCTAGTTGCGGTTAACATTTACTTGAATAATGACCATTGGACATTGAACATTGATACTACATTAAAAAATTAAAACATATGCTATCACATTGGGAAAATATTATGTTTTAATGTTATTTAAGTAAATTTACATAAATCAAAAGAGTGCTTCTATCAAGCACCTCAAGGGCATCATAGACCTTTCTACGTCAAGAAATTTTTAAAATAATACTTTCTCGAGGCCCTCTGTCAAGAAATTTATAACATAATACTCATTCGTCTTAAATTATACTCCCTCCGTTCTAAAATTAATTTCTCATTTTGACTTTTGCAGTCAAAGTTTTTAAACTTTGACTGCATAATACGAAAAATATATATTGAATTTTCATATAAATTTAGTATCAATAGATTAATTTTGAAATATAGTTTTGAAATATATTATTTTGATAATATATATTCATATAAAAATGGAGATATTAATGGTCAAAGTGCCGCATTGGAGACCGTGAAAAGTCAAATGGAAAGCTAATTTTAGGATGAAAGGGAGTATTATCTATTTTGGTTTACGATGTTTGATTGAAATTATTTTCAAATCATTTTATACATAAATTTTTTTTTTCACTTTTCATTTTTGTTCGTCCATTAATTTTCTTTCATTTTCTTTATTTGGCAAGTTTTTTTATACAAAATGTCTTAACTACCCTTACAAACTTTAACCCCAACTCAATTACCCAATGCCCTAACTGCAACTCACCCACTCTTTTTTTACTCCGTTTGACCGTTCCATCTCCCTACACCACATCGTATGACTAGAAAAGTACTCCGGGATACCCTCAATTTTTTGATAAGAATTCGAAAGTCTTACATTATTTAAAATATACTCCCTCCGTCCACCTAAGTTCTTCCCGTTACGCGTTACGAGGCTTGACCGACTTTATTTTCAATTCTATTTAATTGATTATAGGAGTAAAATTTTAAAATAAAATCTATTTAGTAATAAACTACATGAAAAGTTCTACAAAACTAGAGGTGACAAGACTATATTATTTTACGAAATGACTAGTAAAAATGAGCAAACAAAGTGAGTAAAGTTTGACCCTGTGAATAGTGTTTGGGAAGATCTATGGTGGACAGAGAGAGTATTCAGAGTATCTTCGATTTTCTGGTATGAACTTTCAGGTCTCACATTATTTGAAATATACTCTAGAGATCTTTAAAATTTATGATAATTTATTTCAAAGATATATTCCGTCTATTTGGTTGTTATTTTAAAGATATATTCCGTCTATGCGATACCTCATTTGTACACTATACAAACAGAGACAAACAAATACACTTAGTGTCTGTGATCCACAGACCCTAAATGTATGTGTTTGTTTGGTGTACAAATTGGCTATCCTATTTTGTGTACCCCTAGGTTTATTTAGAAAATTACTCACGGGTGACGCGAGTTTTGTTGAAATAACTCTCAGGTCCCTTTATTTTCAAGAAGACATCAGAAGTCCTTACATTTTGTTGTGATGACTGGAAGAGGACATTTTATCCAATATTTCATCTATAAAGGTTAATAAATGTATTTTTTTCTATTCTTTTCTAAATGTTTTAAGGTAATAAATCTTAGGTCGCTCCTTTTTTTATTTCTTTGTTTTTCTTTTATTTTGTTACTATTTTTTAAAGTGTTATTTTAGAATTTTTCTATAAAATCGTATAAAAATTCAAAATTGTTTGTATTATATTAAGACAAATGAAATAAAAAAAAATTAAAAAAGAAAAAACAAGGTAATGACAAAATAGGAATAAATGGTATTGGAAAAATAGGAAAAAAAACATTTATTAACACTTACGAGTGATGTATTGGTTGAAATGTCTCCTCCCAATCATTACAACAAAATATAAGGATCTCGGTTGTCTTTTTGAAAATAGAAGGACCATAAAGTTATTTCGACAAAACTCGCGTCACCTGCGAGTAATTTTCTGTAGGTTTATTCAACTCTTATTGGATAAACCGAACTTTCAATCCAAACGGTAAATAGATGGGATATACCAACAGAGTAAGGCATTACCACAAATTATAAAGACCTTCAGAGTATATTTCAGATAACGTGAGATTTGAAAGTTCTTACCAGAAAATCAAGAATATGTATTTTATATAATGTGAGACTTGAAAATAATTACAAAAAAATTGATGGTCCCGAAGTAATTTTATGTCTTATCACTATCTTCTTAATATTATCCACCAACATCATCTGCATCTCAACTTCTTCTTTTTCTTCTTAGAGTTTTTTTCTTCCGCAAAAAATCTTCAAATCTTCATTCTTCTTCAATTCTATATTTCTATCTTCTTCTTCTCCATCATCGAGCGTTCATCTTCCAATCTTCTTTGTTTTTAAGTCTTCTTTTTTGCCAAAAATCTGGGAGAGTGAGGCTCATCTTCGCCAAATCCGAAGCCAGATCCAAAGGCTATGAGTTTCGTTCACGGCACAAGCGACATAGATTATAGGTGGCACCAGCGAGATTTGGGAACGGTATTAAGCTTTGGTGGTTTGTCGGCTGGAGCTGGAGGGTCACCGCTGATTTTCGGTCAGCAGAGGAAGAGCAGTGGCAAGGTCTTGATAGTCAATTGGTGTTGTCAGCTTCGAGCTGAAGATGATTAACAGTGATTTGGGCTGGGTGGAAGGGGAGTCCAGAGTTTGGGCTGGCGGCCGGAGTCTGTGTCGGCCGCCGAAGTTTGGGTCACCAGTTTCGGGTTGATGGGGCTGGACGATTTGGTTGTTGGGGTTGGGGGGCACGGACAGGGGAGGGATGGCAGAATGAGGAAGGGAATTATGGGAAACTCAACATATATTTTAATTTTACTTAATTTCCGAGCTCAAGTCAAAGCAGAATGAAAAATTTGGAGAGACGGAGTACCATTACAAAACTAATGGTAATATAAGGACTATTGAAAAAAAAATGAATAGAAATTGAACATGTGAATGGTAAACAAATAATTTAATTTAGGACAAAGGGAATAGTTGAAAGTGGTACAAAATAATAATTTAATTTAGGACAAAGGGAATAGTTGAAAGTGGTACAGAATAGAAATATATTGAGCGACACTTCTGCAAGAATGAAAAGTGGAATCTTTTTTAAGACAAAAACTCATTACAAAAAATATGACTTTTTGTGGCTAACTTTTAGTAGCAAAGTTAATATTTACCACAATATATAAATGGTGTATAAATTTTTGTGGCAATTCAAAATTTGCCACAAAATAGTATATTTTTTGTAGCAATTTTTTAAATTTGCCACTATATCTAAATTAGTGTGGAGGGAAAATTTTAAAGGGATTATAGGGAATATTTACTGAAGTTAATTCGCCAATCCGGCCCAACCCAAATAGCCAAATATTGAGTAGTCTCTCGCTCAATTCCTCCATAATTTCGGTCTGCTGTAAACCCCTTCAAAATCGAGAGACGACATCCAGAAACGAGAACCCCGCTTTGATCGGTGATTTGTTTCCCTCTACAAATGAAACTCTTTCTCCTCTCTCCCTAAGGCTTTCTTTCCTTCGCACGTTCATGGAGTGAGTTTAATAGCCGACACACCTCGCCTCCAGGTGATCATTTTTCCCTTTTTTTCTGAGAAAAAGTAGGGGTGGGTTCGGTTTTTGCGGTTCGGTTTTCACCCAAAACTAAAGACAAAACGTAAATTGGCGGTTCGGTTCGGTTTGGTTTTAAACCGTTGTTATTCGGTTCGGTTTTATACGGTTTTTATTTCGGTTTTTTTTGGTTTTTTCGGTTTATAAAAGTAGAAATTTATAAGCATTAAAAATTGTAAAAACACTAACTCGATGGAGCAATAACAAATTAACAATATGTTGTGTTAGGTTTGGTTTTTTGGTTTGAGTTTTACACAAAAACAAAAATCAAACGGAAGGTTATTGTATCACTCGGTTCAATTTTACATAAAAAAAGTGTTGAGTACCCAACAAACATTTAGGAGATTCCAAATACTTCTAAAGACATCGTATGTAAAACTAATTAAGAAGAATTTGTGTTTTTTGGTATAATATTTTCATTTTCATTATAACATCAAAGTATTTTTTTATGTAAATATGTAAATTACTCGTATCAATATTAAATGCTAATATAATTCTATATTTGGATTAGCTATTGGTGTTTATATCCATAGATTTTTTAAAAGTTTATAATAGTATGGCTAAAATGTTTAATTAATAGTTAAGAAAATAATTTTAATCGATTAGTAATTTATTTGCATTTATATTTCTATGATTTTTCTATATATCACATATATTTATATAAAAAAAGCAAAGTATCTAAGAAAGTTCGGTTTATTCGGTTCGGTTTTTCAAAGTGAAAACCAAAACGGAACCAAACACTAACGGTTCGGTTCGGTTCGGTTTTTTTACATTCGGTTTCGGTTTCTTCGGTTCGGTTTTTTTCTAGCTCGTTTCGATCGGTTTCGGTTCGGTTTTCGGTTTTCTCAACCCAGCCCTAAGAAAAAGTGCATCAATTTCTATCGATTTGTCTGCGATTTTCTGATGTTATAGTTCGTGAGTTCACTATATATTCATGCCTGACATGTGTTCGATAAAATTCCTCAAAGAGCATAAAATTCCTTTTTTAGTACTATTGTGTGCAGGTGTTACAAGTCTGATGGTGTTAGAAGTTGGATTGAATTCTTATTTTCTCAACAATAGATATAAATTTTACTTTTAAATATAATTAAAAGTTAGTTTGATTTTATATTCAATCCATATGTGTCATGTTTTTTATGTTGTTATGTTGAATCAAGTATTTTTAGATTCCTAGGTGATTGGACAATGGGGAAAAAATATCTCATAGCCCTCTAAAAGTTCTGCTCTGGTAACCTACAATCAAATAATCTTTTGCTAGATAGTATGTCATTAGCTTATAAAAATTATGAAATAGAATATGGGTGGGGTGTTTAGCTACTTACCATCTCTGGCTATATATTTTTTTTGTTTTTTTTGTTTATTTTATTTTTTTCTAATGTCAATTATAAAGGTATATTATTGAAAAGAAGGAAATGAAAGTAGAGTAAATATTCCTTGTCCCTACCTTTCACATTAGCACAGGTAAATGCCCATAAGATTTTCAAGATGAGGCCACAAGTAAATGCCCATAAGGCTTGTAAACCAGCTTTAAAAGGACAGGAAAGTGTGATTATAACTACAAATGATTGCACTAAGATTCACTCTTGAAGAACACCTTCCTTCTTGACTATATTTTGCATGCTAATTCGTGGTCGTACTCTCTAAGAAAATTACTAATGATCCAGGCTAAAGAACACTCTTTTAAGTTTTAACTTGGGATGCTCACAAAACAAAAAGACCCCAAAAACACGAGCAAACTTGAGAACCAATAGAGCAAGTTAACTGGCCTTCTTTGAGAAACTCATTGTACTGCCGCGTCTTCAGTGTTACTTCCTTCGATCTGTATTTCAGGAAGAGTTTCTAGATCCATTAATCTAATATCTTTCTCTTCCAAGGAAATGGATGTATCAGATTGATCAATCAAATCGTGTCCAATTTCATCTTGATTTTCAATTCCAGAAATCTTGACTTCAACATATGTGGCATTATCGGAGGCAGGTGTGAAAGTTGAGACACTCGAGGAATTTACTGTGAGTAAAAATTCTCAGTTTCTGTGGAAGTTGTATTTGAATCAGATAGAGTTTTCTCAACAATCTGCACAGTGGCGTTCACCTGCTTCATAAAAGTGACTGGCAAGAAGTCTTCCCCATCAGCAGTGATATTACCCTCAATGGTAGAATTTATATTTGATTCTGTCAAATTCGGAAAGGATACTCTGGCTTCAAGATGGCTGTCCACTAGACTCGTTTGGTTCAAGAACGAGGTATTTTTAGGATAGGATGAGACATGCTCCAGGATACTTTCATCACGGCCTGTTGTAATTAAGGAATGATTTCTCTCATGATTATCCAAGGCTAACTGTGTGATGATCTGATCAGATCTTATTACCTCATGATCTGAATCCTCTAAGGCGATGTTTCCATTTTCAGCAAGTATAGTCTGTGTATCATGGGTGACGGAACGTGAAGCATCATCTCCTTTATAAAGTGCTTCATGTGTACTCATGTTGTTTTCTTCATCAAGCTCGCGATCATTGTTCTCTCCAGAATCTTTGATCTCAGTTCCATCAACCTCTCCTCTCTCCTTCTCATCATCAACTAGTTCATCTTCTTGTTCTTCAAATTTCTCTTGACCGTGTTCATCAACAGCATCATCTCCACCTCCCCTATCTTCATCATTTTCATCTTCAAACTTGTTGTCTTGATCTTGCTCCACTTCTTCACTCTTAGTGTCTTCATCTTCTTCTTGGCTGTCATTATCTTGTTTGACATTAGTTATACTTATTTCCTTTGAATGTGGAAAGAGAGTTTTCCTTCCCCACTTTGTAGGCTCATAGATGTTTCCTTCCTTCATCGAAAACCCAGGATCATTTTCATTGAATTATTTCCCTTTATCATAGGAGCGTTTGACTTGATAAATCAGCCAGAAGCAAACAGCAAGCAATAGACAGATTTGCAGAACATGTTTGGTCTTCATCCCTTTTGATATATGGCTCCTGCTTGTAGGTGAATGATTAACATGATGAGAGATGATTATGCTTCTGTGTCCGTCCTCCTTTTCTTTTGACGAGGGTTAGAAATCTCCAAATCAGTATAGTGTCTCCGGAAACGAGTAGAGTGACAGCAATGAATTAAAGAAGATACAGAAAATGCCGTGACTCAGGGAGTTATATGCATCATCTTCTTCTTCCTTCTTCTTCTTTGTCTTCTCTGCGGTACAGTTTTTTTGGTTCAGATCTGGCTCAATATTTTTAGCTTAAAAAAATTATGAAATAGAATTTGATTTAGTTTTACTATCTATCATGGAATTTGGGGTGGGCATTCTTATAGTGAGCTTTATAACTAACTTTGGAGCTTCAAAACTTCGATTTTGGATATCACCAAACTTCTCAATGAATAATTTCTTACTTCCATGATGTGGTTATGAATGTTTTGTAATCTGGAAAGTTTCTCAACCTATTAATGGCAAATGCTGGTTGGCTGTTTGATGGGAGTTCATCATCCATCTTAAAGGTTTTCAAATTTTCAAAACATTGTCTTGATTGATTTTCATGGTTGGTTAATTGGTTGTTATTAATTAATTATTTGTGTTGTTGTCAAAGAGTTATTCTTTTGTCAAGGGTCCACTACCTTGGCAACCTACAGATTCCAATGTCATTCAAGGTAGAGAAATCAGAACACATGAGCCAAGGAATCTGGCTCAGCCACGTTCCTCGAAGAGATGTAGATCAGAAGAGGTTCATAATTTGTCTGAAAAGGTTTAATTTTGTTATGTACAAATGTCTTTTGATGTTCTCCATGTCTAAGTTAGACTTTTGATTTTCCCCTTTGTAAGCCTATATATAGAGGCTCCATATGTAGAAATGGAACATCCATATCTTTACTCTCTCATTGCATTTCTTCTCCTTTGGTTCTCCATTGCACTTTGTCCTTGCATTTGTGTTATCAAGGTATATCTCCATTGCACTTTGTTCTATCGTTTTGTTCATGACAATATTCATATAATCTTTATTTCTAACACGTTATCAGCACGATACTCTAAAAATTTACTCTTCATATCTTGTCCTTGTTCATATTCATGTTATATATATACATATACATATACACTAATTTACTTTAGTTTTCAAGTGTAGATGTATTGAATCTAAAACTCCTAAATATATTAGAAAATATTTGGCATGTGAAGCCTACATTATGTGTTAAAGTTGAAGATTATATGATAAAACTCAACCTGAAGTTTGAGTACATATTATGTCGGAAAAATTTCATTTCTTTAGTTTTTTCCTCTTTTGGCTAGTGAACTTGAAGTTCATATTCTGATTTCATATGCTCGAAGCATTAATAGTGAAACTCAAACCTGAAGATTTGAGTATGCCACATGAATATATAGGTGACATTATTATTTACTTTGCAACAAAGAAATAATAATAATAATGTTAATATTATAGATTTATTATTTGTGACTATGTAATGTACTATAATTTCTCATTATGTCCATAGTTTTGCTCTAATTGTAACCTCCTCTATAATAATAATAATAATAATAATAATAATAATAATAATAATAATAATAATAATAATAATAATAATAATGCATAATAAATAATAATAATAATAATTGAGACCCTTCAAGTACCTAAGCCGTTTTTTAATAAAAAAGCCCTATTATTCAATCAATACACATTAATTTATTTATTTTTCACAATAATAAAAAAGAGTCAACATGTTCATCAAAACACAATATATGGGTATATGAGATACTACCTAAGGTCTTATAATATTCAATTACCACCTGAAGTGGCTGATTTTTAGTATAAAAAATCTCATTAAAAAGAGACGTTTTGGTATTTCAAGACCTTTGTTCTAATCTATATATGATTCCTCATCGATGTTCCTGAAGAATGATGTAGTTAATATATTATAATCAAAGGAGTGATTATACATATTATATTTCTTAGTGGGCATAAATTAAAAGAAATTATCAAGGTACCACAATGGTAGGTAGACACTGAGGGGAGGTTTTTAAAGGAGTTGAATGGAAGATAAATTTCATGACATATGCTAGATTATATATATTCTTCAATTAAAGAAGATGTGAACCTGAAGTTCAAGAAAGAAGATTGTACTACGATATTGCAAATAAAGTGCTCATTATGAATTTTATGTGTCAATTGTAAACACTTTGGTTAGAAGTGAATTCTAGATATTTTCTCAACCATAAAAAAGTGGTCTTATTATGAGGAACCTGTAGTTCCAACATATAATTATGAACCCGAAGTTCTCCTTCGCATGTATTTTATATACACATGTTCATTTTTATTAATCCTTCCCTATAAATAAAATGTCAAATCTTCAAATTTTTGAGTTTCTTACACTTGATATCTCCTGAAGAGAAACAAGTTTGTCCCTTCTCACAATATTTGATTGTTTGATTGTATGCCTTATATGCTCTCTCCCCCACAATGCATTCAATATAATGTAGAAGACTCTGTATTGACATTGGCTATAACTCCTCGTCTATTGTTAAATGTTTAGAGTTTTTGAAAGGAGAATTATTAACATCAAAGTAAGTTGGTTTGTCAATTTTTTGATGAAATATTCCCAGTCTTAGGGGGAGACAAGAATAATGAAAGACTGGTAATACAAGAAATTATATGAAATGCATCATTGTAAATTTTCGACTCCTGTGTATGTATAAATACCCGGACATATGATGAATAAAGTACTCAGTTCAAAATTCCTGAAGCATGCAATTAGAAAGCTCGTGAGTTATTCTCAATCAAGTTACAGAGATGATTATACGGATTGAAACAATCTGGTAGAATGTGGTATAACCGTCTTAGTGAATATCTTGTTAGAGAAGGTTACATAAATGATCCAATTTGTCCATGTGTTTTCATCAAGAAATCTGAAGTTGGATTTGATATCATAGCAATATATGTAGATGACCTAAACCTTGTTGGAACACCAGAAGAGTTCATAAAGACTGCAAACTATTTAATGAAAGAGTTTGAAATGAAAGATCTTGGGAAAACCAAGTTTTGTCTCGGCCTGCAGATCGAGCATGTATCAAATGGGATTTTTATCTATCAATCAACATATACGGAAAAGGTCCTAAAACGATTTTACATGGATAAGGCACACCTATTGAGCAGTACCATGGTTGTTCGATCATTAGATGTAAAGAAGGACTCTTTTCGCCCTCGAGAAGATAATGAAGAACTTTTAGGTCCGGAGGTACCTTATTTAAGTGCTATAGGGGCGCTAATGTATCTTGCAAATTGTACAAGACCTGATATAGCCTTTTCGGTTAATTTGTTGGCAAGATATAGCTCAGCACCAACACGAAGACATTGGAATGGTGTTAAATATATATTTCGTTATCTTCGTGGAACAACCAATATGGGCTTATTTTATTCGAAAGGTTCAGAATCACTAGTTGTTGGTTACGCTGATGCTGGCTATCTTTCTGACCCACATAAGGGTAAATCGCAAAGTGGATATGTTTTTACTTGTCGTGGTGCGGCAATATCATGGAGATCAGTAAAGCAAACACTAGTTGCAACCTTGTCAAATCACTCGGAGATAATGGCGCTATATGAAGCAAGTGGAGAATGCATATGGTTAAGGTCAATGGTTCATCACATTCGAGAAACTTCTGGATTATCTTTTAATAAGGCTCCATCATTACTCTATGAAGATAATGATGCTTGTATTGCGCAAATTAAAAGTGGCTACATCAAAAGCGACAAGACGATCTTTATTTCTAACAAATTTTTCTTAAGTTTCTATTTTATTTTTGGATTTTTAAATAAGTGATATCTAAATTACAAGTAATTAGCCCCTTTGCACAGAGAAGGAGTCGGACCAATGAGAAACTGAAAGCCACTTCTAAAGATTCTTATACTTTTGATGATGTACAAGAAGCCTTTAATGAACTTTATGATGAATATGTCAACGCTTCTAAAATTAACAAGGATTTGAAGAAACAACTTACTTCCATGGAGAAAGAAGTTGATAAACTATCAAAAGGTAATGAAAAACTTAAAGAAGAAAATAAGTTTTTCGGAAAAAGAAGCGGCGACAAACCGGAAAGTTCAAAATGTAGTTCTTGTATATCACTTAAGGATCAAGTTGCAAAACTTGAAGGAACTTTGAAGAAGTTTGGTGTTTCTCATAAAAACCTTAATGATGTTCTTGACAATTTGCAACTTACTAAACATGGCTTAGGTTTTGAAAATGAACCTAATAATAAGGAAAAAGTTGAGCAACCATCTAGGAAACCTAAAGCTCAACTTAGGAATAATGAAAATCAAGAAAATAGACAACCTAGAACAATTAGGAACACTAGACCACCTAGAAAGAACACTAGGATGAACAATGGTCAAGTTAGAAAACCTAGCAACCATTATCAACCTAGGAGAATGCATAATCCAAATGTTATTTGTCATTATTGCAATAGGGTAGGTCATATAGCACCCATGTGTTTTAGTAGGCATAGGCAGTACACGTATAACAAAACACACACTTTGCATGGAACTAACCTAATGAAATCCTTTGAAAAAGGATATTCGAACTCTAACAAATCCCTGCATGAATCAACGCAAAAGAAACCATATTACTTCTTCTATTATGATGAAAAGAAGAAGATTCACATACCACTTCCGGGACCCACACAAATCAAACCGAGGTATAGACATTCGGTTCGAGTAGACTGGAACCCGCCAACCGCAAAACGACGAGTTGGCCAAGGTAACACTTAAAAGCGCGTGTTGGTACATGTGTGTGTGTTTGCGTACCATGTGTATGTGATTATGGGTGCGTGTGTTTATTAGTTTAAAAAGTCGTGTTACTAATCCTCAAGGACCCAAAAGACCAAACGAGTACCAAAATGTTTTCATTGTAGGCGTTGAAGTCAGGGGGAATGTGAATAATCGATTTACAGGCTTGTGATAATCGACTATCACAACCCACAACAGTTGGAGCAAAGAAATTGAAGGAGCCAACAATCGATTATCAACATAAGGATAATCGAGTATCACTGCCCGCAGAAGTTTGTAGCAAATCAAACTCAAAACTTCAACAATCGATTAATTCAAGTCATGATAATCGATTATGTGGAGCTGCAGAACTTTCTCTAAAGTCAGGCGCAAACTCCAACAATCGATTTACTAAAACAAGGCAATCGACTATTGAAGTCTGCAGATCTTTCGGCGGAGAATCTGAAGACTCAGATAATATACGATTTATAAGTTGTGTAAATTGATTACCAACGGCAGATTTTAAAAAATATGACCGTTTTCTAACCGTTGGAACTGCATTAAACTCACAGTTGACCACACCAACGGATCTTCAGGCCTCCTCCACTATAAATTGGTGATATCCCTTCAATATTTACTCTTTCCAATCATCTTCTCTCAATATATTCATCATTCTTGCAATAGTTCTTCATTTTTTATATAAAATTTCTGCAAATTTGTTCTCTCCTCTCTCTTGTTGCAATGGCAGGCGGTCAAAGAAAGCGTTCCCGCACCGGCAAGAACGTCGCCTCCTCCACCATCGACGCACAAGTACCTCGACAGGTCGTTCCTTTGGTTCAACGACCGCGCAGAGGCTACGAGGTTCTCGGAGAAGTTTGAGCACCGGGAAATTCTCCCTCCCCGGTTCTCCACCGCACACTTCATTCACGATTCCATTCCTGTAACACCCCAATTCGTATAACCCGGAATTATAGGAATTAAGGTGAAACGGGAGAAATATTTTTAAAACTTTTCGAAATCATTAAATAGAATTCATAAAACAAAAATTCAAATACAAAATACGAAATTCGGATCGATCCTTTACAAAAATGTCGGAGATAGCGGAAGACTTAAAATAATACAAATACAATGATGTGGGTCAAACCCAAAACTTCAAATGCAAAACTTGGGAAAATCATATATGTCAACCTGCCATCCTATCGTCTCTTCGTCCTCCGGGTGGTTCACATAACCTGTGCTTCAACCTACGTGTAGACAAAAGACTACACGCTCAGCATAAAGCTGAGTGGTACAATAACACGAGAGATCGATAACATATTTATATTAAAATACCATGCATCACATTGGCCACATAATTTTCATGCTAGCCTGGTAGATAGCATGAGATACAAGAAACACATATACATATCACGGAGATTCAATTTGGAATATCATCCAAACATAAATACCTTGGCCTTGTCGTCGACGATGTTGGATATGGAGTGCGATACGTTTTGCAATACCACATACAATTGATAATTGAGATTTGTATAATTACATACAAGCGATGCAATGTCAAATAATTCATGATGCATGAGTTAGACTGCGCAGGGACCCCCTGCCCTTCGGTGATCATCCCCACGCGGTAGATCAGCCGAGGAACACCTTAGTCTTCCCGATGGAGACTAGAAATGTGGGTGATAGCTGAAGCCTAGCTACCATGTACGTACACAAGCCCTCGTGATGAAAACCCGTTGGATCCCGCAGGCTCCTGGACGGGCCCGCGGAAGAGGCGCACTAGGCCTGACCTCTTGTCGTGGTATGCAAAGTATGCCATGATCCTAAAAATGCGTCTAGGATATACATGATGATATAACTGCATTGCTTGAAGAATTAATTTAAGTTCAACGCATACATCTTAGTTTGATTCCATATGGAAATGATTTGTTCAACATGATGGCCCTGGGTTCAGAACTGGCAGATAATCGATTATCCATTGTTGATAATCGACTATCATGCTGTGCAGCTTCCGTTCCCAAAGTTTTGCATACTGTTATAGTCGATTGTCACCTTATGACAATCGATTGTCTTGTTGATTTGTCCAAGAAACCCAAGTTCAGAGAGGCATGACTTATGATCCCGAAGACTTATATTGAAAGCTAAGTCTCGGTTTTTGATCCATTTCAATTGTTGATTCTTACCTTGAAAGCACTTTGATTTTGGATCTTTCTAAAAGTTTAGCAGCCCCTGATAATCGATTATCACTTGTTGATAATCAATTATCAAACTTCTGCAGCCTCTAATAATTGATTATCACTAAGTGATAATCGATTATCAAATGTTCTGCAGCCTCTGATAATCGATTGTCACTTTGTGATAATCGATTATCAGAGTTTAGCAGCACCTGATAGTAGATTATCAGAATTTGGCAGTCTACTATCACAGTACTCGGGTTCTACTTTGGTCTGTCGAATTACGTTTAACCTTTTGAAAATTATAATGAACATTCAAGATGACAATTTAAACATATATGTAGTACCTATCCATGCCAATGGGTTGATAGGTGATTTATTTAACGAGTGTCATACCATATATCTTTTTAACGGGAAAACTACGATCATATGGTTTCAACGAAGGTTATGCCAAGTAGTAGAGCATATAAAGCAACGAATACACATTCGTTCATACATGTACAACACATATATTTGGGCACGGATTTACGTGCTCATGTAATTGTCTAAGTGTGGTCTAGGTGTTTTCCAACTTGTTCATTCGCATGTCAAATTTATTCACTTATACGTATCAAGTGATGCTATTACGATATTCATTGGTATTTCCCCAAGCCTAACCATATTCTTCATAATGTAACCATTCTACAACTTTTATTTCACAGTCCTTATTGTTTATATTTGAGTCAAACGTCTATTTAGCCTTGTATAACCATTCTATTTCATAACGGTTGTAATCCTCGTTATTCTTTACGCAACGTTTAATAGATCAAGAATATATCATGATATGAATCTATATACAAATAATCATATAAACAACAAACATATTCGCATATAAATATATTAAAGATTCCTCCGTTATATCTAGGGTGTACATACCTCGAATACGACACAACGTTAGAAGGGACCGAACGAATCAACGGCGTCAACGAACGGTCATCAAACCCTTGACCTTCCGACTTCCCAATGGCTTCTTGAGTTCCGTTTCTTCTCGCGAATATGTTATAGGGGTTGTGGAGAGCCGGCACGCATTCGACGAATAGCGGATTGGACGAAATAGAATGAGAGTGAAGGCGGAAGTTGCAACCCTCACGTTTTCCGTCGCCGCTGGACCAGTTTTGGTAAAACGGCCGTATAGACTTCGTTACTCATCTGATTGACAAACCGTTTGCGGCTGTGGTTCACCGACTCGCAGGGCTACAACTTTGGTCAAGAAACCATGACCAAGAAGTGAGTTTAAGATGGTCGAAATTCTACCCAAAGTGGGCTGACGGGATTTTGCTTCCAAAAATCAGCACCTCCTTCTTCTTCTCGTCCTTCTCCTTCTTTCTCTTCTCCGGAGCTCCGTCGTCTCCTGGGATTCTACTGGCCGGCGTCCATAAGGAAGATGGAGAGTGAGGGAGTTGGATGGTTGGTGGGTTACAAAATGATGGAGGAATGGAAGGAGAGGAGTGGATTTATAATAATGGGGAGTAATGGTGGTGAGGTGGAGAATTAAAAAGGTGAATGAATGTGGGGAGATGGGAGGGGAAGTGGCGTGAGGTTTAATTAGGGAGTTACCTCCCTAGATTCCACTCCGTTGTGTAAAGTCCAACCTGAACTGTACGCGGTTTTCCCCCATACTTGCCCGAATTGAAAACCGACTGCGTTTTCTGAAATAAACAGTCAAAACTAAATTTATGATATCTTCAAAATATTTTTCTCACAACTTTATTTTTAGACTTCCGGATCCATCCCAGTCATTAATTAATTTATTTAATTAATTAATGTTGAGAGGTCCGTTATTAAAATACATTAACTTTGGAAGTCCATTTGATGATTTCGAAATTTCAATAGTTATTATTTAAAATAATGAGTTTCAATAAATAAATAATATTTATTTATTTAAAATATTGGCTAAATATTAGGCCGGTTTGCAAGGCGTTACAATTCCACGGGAGGCACGGGTCATCCTCCAAGAAGGAAACTTCCTCGACCTACTCTACATCAAGAAGAACGACTATCAACCTTTTCTTGTTCGAGCCTTCTACTTGAACTTGAAAAAGGATGAGGACGGATCGTTGATTTCAAACGTCAACGGGGTGGAGATTTATTTGAATGAGGAGAACATTCAAATCCTCATCGGGCTTCGTCGAGACGGACAGGATCTCGGCCTCTATGTCAGAGAAGAAGGAGCGCAGTTCAACGAGACCGTACTCTTGGCGGAAGTGGGTATCCGAAACTTCATCCCCACTCCCCAGCAGCGGCGCCCTACGATTGCTTCCATGAGTCCCGTGTTTCGATTCATTTTTTATGTTTTAACACGGATTCTCAGACCTAGGAAGTTCAATCACACCACTCTCTCCCAAGAGGACACGAAGACGCTCCATGCGATAATTCACAACACCAACATCAATTGGTTTAAATTTGTGATGACTCACATGTTTAGCGCCACCTCTGACGATCGGCCGCTCCCCTACGCCCTCCTCGTCATGGCGATTCTTGAAGAGTATAACATCAAAACCGATGTTGGGCCAAAGATAAAGGGGACAAAGCATTGGGAGATTAATGAATCCTCTTTCCACTGGGCACCGACGAAACTCCGTTTCGACAGCCTCGTCCACGCCGCCAACCAAGGGCCACCGCTTCGACCAACCCTTTTCTTGCCGAGCAAATGGCAGCCTTGACCGCCACTCTCTCTCGGATTGCCACCAACGTCTCCCAAACGGCCCAAAATGTAAATATTTTGAGCCGAGAGCTTCACGGGTACTTTGACTTTGTCAATTACTCTTACGCTCAATTGGTCCCCTACGCTCCTCCACCGAATGTCGGGGGCGCACCAAGCGGGACTAATAACGTTGGGAAAGATGAAGAGGTGGACGATGAGGAAGAGGAAGAAGAAGAGGAAGAGGAAGCCGAAGATGATGATGACGATGATGGCAGTGGTGATGAAGAGGAAGACGAAGACATTGACGAAGAACAGCTTCTCAATGATCTCTCCGGACTTCTAGAGCTCTAGCTCTATTCCCTTCTCTTCTTTATTCTTTTTATACTTTTTAAATTTGCTTCCGTTATGTACCCTGATATTTCCCTTAATTGATAAATAAAAATCTTTATGGTTTTTGTTGTTAAATCTTTTTGTTAATTTCAAAAGGGGGAAGATAAGGGCTATGCATATATTAAGGGGGAATTTTTATTAAGGGGGGATTTTTTTCAAAAAGATCAAAACCCCATACATTAAGGGGGAATTTTTTATTGAGGGGGAATTTTTTTTCAAAAAGATCAAAACCCCATGCATATCCCCGTCTTGTTTGCCATTATCAAAAAGGGGGAAATTGTTGGAACACACTTTGTACGATAAAATAAAGTCGTGTTCATTTCTGACAGGTTTTGATAATTGCCAAACCGCCGTGGATATGAAGAGTTTCGTTGAATAACTCAAGGTGTGAAGGATGGCTTGGAACAAGACCAAAAAGACTCAAGGACAAGATCAAGAATTGAAGACTTAGTCGAGTCGGTCTCTTGTGATCAAAACTGACAATAAATTCAAGTCTCGGTTCTCAAAGAGTCAAAACAATTTTTACAAATCATGAAATATTTTTGTGCATAAAAATAAATATTTTTGATGATTTTTTATTGTTAAAATCCCTGGTCCTTGCTCGGAACCTAAACCACCTAGGTCGGCGTTCGGCATTCGGCGTTCGGCGTTCAGTTTTTTGCGCCCAAACCAACTCCGTGGTTTTTAATATTTTAAACCTTGTTTTTACCTCTGAGCATTTTTAAAATTTTCCCAAATAGTTATTCTATAAAAACCACTTTTGTATCCTGGTCAATCGGTTCAACACGTGAAAAACGATCAAAACCGTACGCATGTGATGTACGACCTTGGAGACTTGGTTTTTACCGAACAAATCTTGTTTTCACTATTTTATACCATATAAAATATTTTTCAAACCTGGTTTTTACTTTTGGGAACACTTCGTTTTTGGACCTCGGTTTTTCAAAACGGGTTTCAGCTGGCTAGACTTTAGCTAGGTGATAATCGATTGTCACTTTGGTGAAAATCGATTATCTGCCTCTGCAGCTTTGAACTCCAAAGTTCTGAAGCAATAAATAGTCGATTATCATATTTGCAATAATCGATTATCAGTCTGTGCAGCCAAAACCCAGAATCTTCTAAGAGGACCAATAGTCGATTATCACTTGTTGACAATCGATTATCTGGGTTACCGTTGTCCTCCGACAGATAGAATTTTAAATTTTTGGACAGGGAATCTCTCAATAATCGATTATCATGGCTAGACAATCGATTATCACCCTGCAACTCTGAAAAATTTGTCTTCATCCTGTTGGAAACTCTAGCAACGGATTTATCCCATTTTGGGCTATAAAATGGCACCCAATTCCTTTCATTTTACACACAATTCTTCAACATTTCAATACTCTTTCATTGCATAAGCATTCCTATCTTTTCTTAGCTATTTGAGAGCCAATTCTTGAAGAAATTGTCGTGTTCTTGAGCGTTTACTAGTTCACTCATATCTACTCTTTGTGAGAGTTTTTATTCCTGAGTGTTTAAGAGTTTTCATACACTTTAAGGGAGGTTGTTCCCTTGTTGTAAACTCAAAGGAAGTTCTTTGTTCCTTCGTGAGAAGTCTTGGAGTGTGGTATCTCCGAGCAAAGGCGTTGAGGCTCATGTGACTCGGGTTCTCAAGTTGTATCGGTTTGTTAAGCACCCTTAAGCTTAACGGAGTTAGTGTAGCTCGAGAGAGTCTCTCGGGAGGCTGGATTAGCCACACGTTGTGGTGAACCAGGATAAAATTTGGTGTGCTTCTTCCTTACGCTCTTTACATTAACGCTCTCGTTTTTAATTTCCTGCGATTTTGTTTCAAACGCTATTCACCCCCCCTTTAGCGTTGGGCCTTTATTCTAACACTCCTCTGACTCATTGCCCTCCGGGAGTGGTTCCGTCATTATCTTCTTGTTACCTACGTGTAGTCAACGAAAAATACAAACTACAAGCTCAACAAAACTGCTGAGTGGTACCACGCTAGAATTGTAGAATGATTCACAGACATATACATATACACATATATAGGTCCACAAAATGTATAATAATATTCATGATATGGCACATTATATCATATGATCAATTTGATGACTCATGATGATAAATATATATTGATGATTACATGATGGCACATTTAATCAATTTGCTTGTTCGTGAGGATGATTACATGACACCTATGTAATCAATATAATTGTTCTTGGTGATGATTACATGATACCTATGTAATCAATATATTTGTTCTTGATGATGATTACATGACACCTATGTAATCAATGTACTTGATGATGATAACATGATGCATGATCCTATAACCCACAATGAACGACCTTGCCCTATGAGATTCGCCCATTTGGTACGACGAACTCATGCCACCTTAGTCTCACGAATGAGGTGAGACTAGAAAAATAGGGGTGGTACTCGAAAGCCTGAATACCATGTACGTACACTAAGCCCGGTCAGTGATGTCGGACTGCTATGTCCCGCACAATCATGCTATAAGAGACGCATGAGGCATGATCTCTTACGCATGCATATGATGTGATATGCTTCAATATGAATGATATGATGTGAACAATTTGCAAACAATATGAATATATAATCATGTATAAGTTTATTTGGTTGAAACATGATTAAAATATCATTTAATCAAGCTACTGGGCTCGGAACGGTCGACTGTTTGGCACGGCGGTCGACCTTGATCTTCACTTCGTCGGAACGGCGGATCACCGTGACGGTCGACTGTGCTTGACCGGAGGTTGACCGTTGTTGACTGGCTGCGGATGGCGGACTTCACCTGGCTGGCGGCGGTCGACCATTCACCGACGGCGGTCGACCGTTCCGCTGGCAGTCGTAGTCCGTTTCGAAGTTTAATACGACGGTCGACCGTTTGGGTCTGCGAATCTTTCTCTTGATATTTTGGGTGTTCAAAATACTTCTTTAAGTCTTTTAAATACCTTTGATTAACATATACATGTTGTTGGGTTGATTTCAAATGTTTATATATACTTATGTATATATATTAACTTTATGAATTTGGTGTATTTTGGTCTACACACATAGATGACATATATATGCTTCACATATATATTTTGGAATGATTTCAACATATGGATAAATATATATGTTCATGTATGTATGTGATGAATGATTCGACAAGTCTAACGCAAGGGTACAGACCTGGAAATCATCGGCCAAAACCTTACGGATGAGCGGGAGTGGAAACAACATCGAAATTCACCAACTTTGTCATTCTCGTCACAATTGGACAGCCTTCCATATTTTGGGCATATCTCCATCGTTTCTTCACGGAATTGCAAACCGTTTGATTCTGTGGATTCCTAAGATGTAAGGCTATAACTTTCGTATAGAAAGTATTTCGAGTTAACAGATGTAAGATAGCGTAAATTGGACCTGACGTCAAGGGAAAGTTGCTGTCCAGAATTTTTCAATACTTCGGTGAACAACGGTTCCGACGATTAACTCATTAACTTCAATATTCCAACACCGAACCTTCTCTACGATACCTTCCGGATGTTCCTAATAATCGTTTGAGAGTTTATGGTAAGTGTTTGGAATGAAACAACATGGATATGGTGAGGAAACATAGCCAACCCGAGGAGCTCACCACCCCTGGCGCAGTCCCGGTATTTTGGGCATATCTCCTTCGTTACTTAATGAAATTGCGAGCCGTTTGTTGGGCTGGATTTGTATCGTCCGGGGCTACAAATTTGGTTCAGAAAGTATTTCGAGATAATGGGTGGAAAATTTCAGTTTTTACATTAAAGTGGGCTGCTGTGTTTGAGCTCAGGATTTTGGATACTTGGATAGTTTCTTCTTGCTTCTTCTTCTTCCATGGACTAAAATAATGATTTCTTGCTTTTGTGTTCTTCTTGTTTGTGTGAGAAATCAGAGATGAAAGGAGATGATGGTGTGTGATGGTGGTTGATGGGAGATGATGATGGTGGTGGTGGATTTGGTGGAGGATTGGTGGGAGTATTGAAATACAAAAAGAGTTTGGAGTTATTATCTTAGTGGGGGGTTAGTGGATTTTTTAGGAGGGATAGGGTGGCTAGTGGAATCACTTACGTGATTGGGGGGGATTTGAGGATTAAAGTTTTGGCTTTTTGCCAAAACTGAACAGTTTACTCTAAACGGTACGCGCTTTTTCGCCCAAACTGCTCTGAATTGAAAATGGATTGTGTTTTTGGAAACACACTGTCAAAACTAGAATTTTGACGTAATCAAAATATTTTTCTGAGAATTTTTATTTTTCTGTGTCTGGGTTTGTCTCAGTCATAAATTGATTTAACAATGTGAATGAGATAAGAATATATGAATTAAATCCAAATGATGAATATGGTATTGTTAAGTGTCAAATATTAAGATTTCTAATCTTATGAAATCACTTTTGAATTGAGTTTAATTTATGGGTCAAAATTACAAATTTTGATATTTAAAATCGTCATAGCTTGAAATATATAAATCAGATTGGTAATATACCGTTGGATTCGTCTCCTCTAGACATATCAATAAAAATAAGTTTTTAACAAAAAGTCCTTATTTTGAAAATCCATTTATTTTTGGTCAAACGTATAAATATTCCTTATTGGACAAAAACTGTTTTTGTTTAATAATAAATTCTAGGCCTTATTTTTTGGCGTTACATTTCTTCCCCCCTTAAAGAAATTTCGTCCTCGAAATTTCCCTAGGTGAGAAGTCATTTAAATGATGATGTAAAAATCATGAATATTCATTGTTTTTATAAAACACAAATTTTGAAAAATTGTTTTCTCTTTGTTTTATTGTATGTTATGATTATGACATGTTCTCTTACGAGAAAAGATATACGCGGGATGATAGATGTAACGTGTTTAGATTTCTTTCGTAGAGATTGCGTCGAATATACTCTTAGACTTGCTCTTGCCGTGTTGTAGGAGTTTTCAGGAGCTCTTGTATGGGTTGCGTTTCTTGAATGTGGGGTAATTTACAAAATTTCCTTTTTGAAATTCTTCTAGAACCATTCTCAGACGACTTTGTCTGGAATGTTGGTTTCACAAATTACGCTTCGTTGTTTACAAGCTGGAATGAATTGTTTTCAAGTTTGACATTTTTACGTAATGGTATTTTGGGGAATGACTATTATTATAGTCATCATTCTAAGTTTCTTAGATTAATACGTAATTATAGTTTTAGAACTTGAACTCTCATTAGCGATCTTTAATGGAGTTGCGCTGACTAACATGATGTCAATAAGCTGATTAAAGCTTGTTTGTAACAGTTAACACATATATCACACTTATATATAACAATAATATATATTTTTATCACATTGTAATGATTGGATGAATGTTTTGATAACACTTGCTATTTTGTCACTGTTTGCCTTATCAAGATGATATGTAGTCATTCTTGAATACTGATTTTCTGATTGATGATTCCAGAATTGCCTTGGAATTTCAGACTTTCTCAATAATTATGATAGAGCTTCGTGTTCGAAAATTATAATATTAGTGTATTCGTCATATCACTAATATTCTTACTTCACACAACAGTTGCATTACCTATTATCAAAAACAAGATAAGATATACACACAGTCATATTCTAATATGTTTGGGATTCTACATGCGTGATTTTAAGATTTGAACACTACGTTGTCGGTTTTTGGTTGACCTTAAGCGAAGGTTAGTTTAAGATTTGAAAACCTGTTAAAATATGTATATCTTAAACTAGGCCTAGCTTAAGGTTAGTTAAGAATATCTTAAACTAGAATAAGTTTAAGAATTGATTTGGCCTTAGACTAAGAAGAGTTTAAGAATATTGTTGAATACGAATGTTGAATATTGAATTTGAATGTTGAATATGAAAACAAATGTTGAATGTGGAACGATGAATGTTGAATAATGAATATTCGAACTTAACATTATGTGCATAATATCAAATGGTTGATTATGAATTGAGATTCAAATTATGTGGAAGTTCGATACTTTAGATATGCTTACTCAGCTTTATCGCTGAGCGTGTAGTGTGTTTTATTTGCTACACGCAGGTTAATAGAAAAAATGATGTGACGTGATCCTGGAGGCAGACAGAGGCGAGATTGTCGGAATGGATGTGATGGTTTTGAATTGAAGAACATAAATAAATTATGTTTGTGATTATGATTTGTTAAGGCTTCCGCAATATTAAAAACTCCGTACTGTTATGAAAAATATTATTTTGATAAATAAAAGTGTTGAAATGTTTTAAATTTTTACGATTACCAAGTTAATACTTTAGTCCGAAAGGGGCTGCAGACCTGGACGGATTAGGGTGTTACAAGGACACCATAGGACACATGGCTTTTGTTTCTCAAATTGAACCTACAACCAGTTTGGAAGCAATTAATGATGAAAATTAGACCTTGGCAATGTAAGAGGAGCTTAACGAATTCAAACGAAATGACGTTTAGGAATTGGTGCCAAGACCCAATGATCATACCATAATTGGTACAAAATGGGTGTTCTGTAATAAACTTGATGAAAACGGAATAATAACTAGAAACAAATCTAGTCTTGTAGCTAAAGGCTACAATCAAGAAGAAGGCATTGATTTTGAAGAAACTTACGCATTGTTAGCACGTTTAGAAGCTATTCGTTTATTACTTGCATTTGCTTCATCTATGGATTTTACACTATACCAAATGGACATTAACAGTGCCTTCCTCAATGGTTTTATCCAAGAGGAAGTGTGTGTTGATTAACCCTCGGGCTTTGAGGACTTTGAGCACCCAGACTATGTCTTCAAACTCAAGAAAGCACTCTACGGTCTCAAACAAGCACCTCGTGCTTGGTATGAATGTTTGAGTAAATTTTTTTTGGACAACGGGTTCAAAAGGGAGGAAGTTGACACTACGCTTTTTATCAAGAATAAAAACAATCACATTCTCTTGGTACAAGTTTATGTAGATCACATTATATTCGGTGCTACTAACAAATCTTTGTGCAAGGAATTTTCAATAATGATGACGAATGATTTTGAGATGTCCATGATGGGAGAACTCAATTTCTTTGTGGGCTTACAACAAGCTAAACAAATGAAAGAAGGAACTTTCATATCTCAATCGAAGTATTGTAAGGAATTCCTCAAAAGATTCGAAATGGACAACACCAAAGCAATGGCTACGCCTATGAGCACTTTTGAACATTTGGACAAAGATGAAAAAGGTAAGGAAGTAGACATAAATAAGTATGGAGGTATGATCGGATTCCTTCTTTATCTTACCGCTAGTAGACCCGATATCATGTTTAGCATTTGTTTATGCGTAAGGTATCAATCTTGTCTGAAAGAATCGCACTTAACGGCAGTGAAACAAATAATGAAATACCTTGTTGGAACAATAAACGTTGGACTATGGTACCCCAAAGGGTCTTCTTGTCAACTCATTGGATATTTCGAATCGGACTTTGCCGCTTGCAAATTAGATCGCAAAAGCACGAGTGGGACGTGTCACTTGCTTGGTAGTTCGTTAGTCTCATGGTTTAGTCAGTGTTGCGTTATCCACAACCGAAGCAAAATACATTGCCGCCGGGAGTTGTTGTGCTCAAATCCTTTGGATGAAGCAACAACTTGTGGATTATGGCCTTAGTATCGATCATGTCCCTCTTCGATGCGATAATACTAGTGCCATAAGCTTGAAGAAGAAATCATGTACTTCATTCAAGAACGAAACACATTGACATTAGGCATCATTTCAAAAGAGATCATGTTCTCAAAAGTGATGTTGAAATTGAGTTCGCGGAAACGAAGTATCAATTAGCCGACATTTTCACAAAATCTTTAGAGAAAGAGTCATTTTTCCACATTCGTAACGAACTCGGAATACTTGATTCCACAATGATCGAAGTTGAGCATTAATATTTTATTGATCTCTTACTAACTTGAGCGTCGGAGACGCTTTAAATTTTTCGCAGGTCTTTTAGGCTTAAAATGGTGCTAAAGTCAGGGGGAATGTGATAATCAATTATCAACCACATGATAATCGACTATTAAGACTTGCAGGAGTTGGATTCGGTCAACTCAAAAAGCAAATAATCGATTATGATAATTTGGATAATCGACTATCACAGGGAGCAAGACTCTTCAATTTTCCGGAAGAAAACACAGATAATCGATTATCAACCTATGATAATCGACTATTTAAAGCTGCAGGTCTTTCAGTAGAAAGGATGATAATCGATTATGAGTAACAACTATCGATTATCTTTAGTAGATTTTCAAAAATTTGACTGTTTTCTAGCCGTTGCTGGAGCATTTATCACACCTTTTGAAGCACCAACAGCTCTCCATTCCCTCTCCACTATAAATTGGTGATATTCCTTCATTCT